TTTTTAAACTGTGCATGTGGAAACTGAATGTATTTTATCTGCACCCTTCACTATTGATCTGTCTAATTTTTATTATTTTTCTTGTTTTTCTGCTTTTAATTCTCTGTGAAGCACTTTGAATTGTCTTGTACACGAAATGTACAAATAAACTCGCCTTATTATTTATTATGATTTAAAAAGATCAACGACAGCAGAGCAGGACTGAAAACAACCCAAATCAGAATGAAAACTATTATACCTCTGAACCGATTCCGTTTATTCGGTTTGTAAAATGTGTAGGATTTCATGTTTTTAGATGCCATTAACAGTAATTCCTGCTAATGTGTTAATCAGTTTGCTAGCACATTCAATTTGGTATTCCCTGATCTGATCATACAAAATATCCAGAGTTAAGTTTATTGCTGGACTAATTCTCCTCTTTGTTTTCAATGTCCATGTAAGAAAACCTCTTTTTATGGAACTTATAGAAACAGTTGTCACAAAGTGCCAAAAGTAATAGACAAACGTAACAATTAAGATTACTTAAATTACACAATCCTTTGAATTGGCTGTGAATCAGTAGGGCAGTGTTCAAAATCTTAACGACCACATTTGCTTATCGCTCAGCAAAGGGAGCTTTCAGCCTGAATCAGACAAAACAAAAGGACCCCAAATCCTGGATTTCTTCTTAAAATGACAACACAGCCAAGAATAGAAATACACAAGTTTGTAAATGATAAAAAAGTAAGTTGGAAAAATATCAATTCATATATCGGGGAAAGATTTGTACTAAAAATGACTTAAAAAATATCTAAATTGATTGAGTCCAGGCAATTTGTTGTCTATTATAAGCTCACAAACAAGATATTTTCTTACTGTATGGCCTCTGTATTTGTTTCTAGTCTAACACAATGTCTCCCAACTCTGTTTTCAGTCTTACTCCTGCATGGTCTTGCCCTCGAGGCCGTCCACGACCTCCAGGGAGGCGTCTCCTTCGCTCCAGTTGAGGCCGTGGGTCTCCGGGCTGCTGCCCTCCTGCTGGGCGGCCACAGAGGAGACCAGGCCGATGAGCGGCCGCATCTGGCAGTAATGCATGGGCAGCTGGGGGGTGATGCCCTCCACGCGCTGGCTCACCGACACCTCCACACCGCGAGTCTCCCCACAGCAAGAATCCCCTGTAAAAGGCAGTTCGGAAATTAATCGGACAACGAAAACTGTCTCAGCACGAAGCGTTCTCAGACTTAGGGCTGGGCGATATGAAAAAAACGTATATTTTTATATTTAAAAACATATATATTATATTTATATTTTTCCCCAAAAATGTTTGATTTTACATCGCGATATGAACAAAATCCCTTTTTTATGTCTTTTCTGGAATATTACAAATGTAATAAACAAGTCGTTGTTCGTCCAACTTCAAACACCCAAAACAGCTTTAAAAGTCCTCAAAACAGCTTTAAAATCCCCCCCAAAATAGCTTTAAAAGCTTCTCCTGGGCAGCATTTTAACTTAATTCCTGTTCAGAGCTCCTGTCAACTCATTTTTGCAAATTTTTAGTCTTAAAAGGTTTTACGGTTTGGGTGGAGAAGTTATTTGCTGCAAACTTTCCGGCTTTGTGCCGCTGCTCACTTCTACGCTCAAACTTTGATTATTTTTTTTTAATGACATCAGCTCATCGAACGTCTCATTTACTGTACAATTGTAGAGAAATTTTATATCGCAAATAAAATCTTAATTAAAAAATATATTAATTAATCAATTTAAAAAATAAACAAATTAAAGAAATAAATAATTAAAAAAATAAAATTAAAATAAAAAAATCGTCCAGCCCTATTAAAATCCCCCCCAAAACAGCTTTAAAAGCCCTGAAAACAGCGGCTCTGTGAAAACTTTGATGACTCTTTTTAAGGCGTCAGCTTATCGAACGTCTCATTTATAAGCGTAAAGAAATTTTACATTGCGAATAAAATAGAAATAAAACCGCCCAGCCCTACTTAGACTCAGACTACTAAAGGACGTACCTATGAGGATGCTCTGGACGTAGATTGGCTCGATGAAGTGGCTGAGCAGAGCTCCCTGGTAGCCCAGCACCTGCCACTGGGTGATTTTATCTGTGGCCGACATGCTGATCACTTTACACGCTGAGTGGTCAAAGTCTGACGACAAAACTGAGAACACCTTTAAAAAAAAACAAGTTTGTGTAAAGCAGGGGACTCAAACTCCAGTCCTCTTTGGGCCGCTGTCCTGCAGCTTTTAGAGGTTTCCCTGTTTCAACAGACCTGACTCACATCAAAGGGCCGTTAGCAAAGCTCAGCTATGTCCAGAGGAGATCCGATTTAATCAGAATCAGGTGTAAAGAAAATATAAAACCTCCAGGACTGCAGCCCAAAGAGGACTGGAGTTTGAAGTATATTCAAACTGCATTCAAATCTATATTACCATTAGGGTTGTCAAAAGTATCGATTTATTTATTTATTTACGTTGTTTTGATCATTAACGTGATGTTAGCCTTGAATTGCTAGCTGTGGCTAACGGCTAATAATAACACGCCAACATTAATCAAGTCCGTCTGGCTGCAGACTGCAGGAACAAGGATGGATATCCAACTCCCCCACATCCAGGTCGGCCATTTTGATTAGGTCACCAATAGGAAGATCCCAGGCAAGAAAATCTTAATTGCTTCATGGCAATATAGACATTCATTTAAAAATAGTTCAATTAATCTTGCAAACACTGAATTAAACTCTATCCATAATATTATGTTAACATTGTGGATGTTATATAGGTTTGTACAATAAGTCCAAACAGGTTTAACCAAAAAATATTTATTTCTCACAATTATGAAGGCTGGAGGGTTAGGGTTAGGGTTAGGGTTAGGGTTAGGGTTAGGGTTAGGGTTAGGGTTAGGGTCAGGGTTAGGGTTAGGGTTAGGGTTTGGGTCAGGGTTAGGGTTAGGGTCAGGGTTAGGGTTAGGGTTAGGGTCATTAATGTGGGCCACCATAACATCAGTAACAGGTCAGTTTGAAACCAAAGACACTAACCTGTTGAAATTCAGTTCAATTTTGGGGTCTTTGTTTTCATCCTTGTGGTATCGAAAATGGTATTGAGTATGGAATATTTTCCTGAGTATCGGTATCCAGTTGAAAGTTTTAGTATCATCACAACCCTAATTACCATAGCTAACAAATGAAACACAACCCCTATAAACAAGTAAGATAATGATCCAGAGGACTGTACCTTTCCTCCTACTGACACGTGCAGGCTCATCTCGTTGTTCATGTGCCATGCAGAGACGGACAGAGGGTTCAAGCGCCTGGAAATGAAACAAAAAAGATGGCCTCATCTCATGTTTTTATCTGAGGAGTTAGGTTTCCACTCACTCACAGCTTGGAGGGAATCTCGGCAGCCCCGTTTGGCAGCTGGTTCATGTAGAGGTGGAGCGTGATTCCCGTCTTAAGGCTGAGGAGGTCGCCCCGGCTGTTCTTCTCAAAGATGGACTTCTCAGACAAACTGGCGTTTTTGCTGAAGAACAGCAGCAGGTGCCGGTACAGATACCTGACGACACGGAGAAAAAAAGGTGAGTCTACTGAGATACTGAGAATGCATTTGTTGTAGGGGTGGGACGGTTCTCAAAACCCACGGTTCGGTTCGATTCACGGTTTTGGCTTCGGTTCATTATATGTTGATTGTTAGGAAAATCTATTATGTCTTGTATAGTCAGGTTAAAACTGAAAGAAAAAAGCAGTCTGACATTTGATCCATTATTGTGACAGTCTGAGGTTAAAAGTAGGTGAGATTCTGCCAGAGAGGAAACAGTGCTAATTCCAACATGTGCTTCCCTCTAAATGCAAACTGGTCCATACAGCAGACCTAGAAACTGCTGCTGGGTCTGATTTTTATGGGCTACGCTGCTTCTTCTTCTTCTTGTTTCCTACTGGTGGTTGGCTTTGGGCGCAGTAGCGCCACCTTCTGCTCTGGGGTGAAAACGCTTCCCTCTGAGAAAAAGGAGCAGCATGAACCGAACGCAACACACGTGAATCGAACCGAGACAGTCCAACCCAACGGTTCAGACGCTTTTCAGAAACCGTCCCATCCCTAATTTGTTGAAATTATTGTTAAGCAAAAGGCCCTGGACTGGTGTGCCACTGACCTCATCAGAGCCCTCCTCGCTGTGACCACTGCATGTGAGTCGTGCACAATCCGCCCGTTGGATGAGGCACAGTCTTTAGCACCAAATGTCCCGGTGCCCAGAGCCACCACCTCGTACCCACTGGCTGCAGGGACGGGAAAGTGTGTATACGGGTTTATAAAGGGGACATTCGTTTGCATTTTACTGCTAAGTCTAATTAGCTGTAAAGTAGCCTGCAAACTTTTAATCTTTCTGTTTCTTTTTAAAAGAAGTAATGGGAAGTGCTACACTACGGTTGGTGAATTTCTTTAAAAACAAAAACAAAAAAACATCTTTCCTGATTTTTCCACCAAGGTCTCATAAACCATTTTTCGGGACAACACGAAGTTTAGCAATTACAAAAAGCAACAGATACTTTACAGATTCTTCATGTTACACTGAATAACAAATTCAATCCACTTTTTTAGGTCAGTATTCTCTCTTTTTATGAGCGCTCACAGCTTTGAACGACGAATGCCGCCGTGGAGCCGGAGCAGTCGGAGAACGCCGGGTAGCTGCTCATCAGCCTGCTGAGCTGCTCCTTCACAGCTCGGGGAATCCGCAGGTTAATGAAACTCTTCCTTTCTGAAAATCAAAATAAAGGATGATAGGAATATAAATTAAATTGATCTTAAACTGAATGAGAGGAGTAGAGAAAATCTGCTATCAAGAAATCTACAGCGTTCTCTGAGGATGAATACGTTTCCCTTTTGGTTTCATGTGGTTTGATCATTAAAAAAAAAAACAGGAACTTGCACCCTGATCCTGAAATTAAACTGGTTGTATTTATTCATATAGTTAATCTATCATCACTCTTAATCAGAGTAACCACAATTTCTTTTTTAAGACCAAAGTCTGAGTTAATCAACTCCCTTTTTGGTTTGGCGTCTCTGTAAACAAAGCTAATCAAAGTAATTTAGGTAGAAGTCATAAGATAAATTAATCTTAAAGGATCACTTCCAATGAGCTTCAAACAGATATCCAGTTCACTTGTTTTTTCAGTCATCTGGAGCCCATAAACATAGACAAAGGGCGGCTCTATCTTTAAAAGTTCTTTGGTGAACTAAGTTTACGGATTCTTCCGATAGACCTGCAGACCTCAATGCAACGGTTTGTGCAGCCTTTGACTCATGTCTCAGTCAGGTATCGGTTCTTCTGCGCTTGTGGTCTGGCAAGCAAGTAGCTATACGCAGAAATATTGAGAAACCACATTAGCATCTCACAAAAACTGACACCTTTTCACACAGGAAGAAATATATCTGACACGAGCTGATTCCATGGCTCGTCCACATCACTGATTCCGATATTTCGGAAAACCACAGCCGAAGCCAAACTAAAGGAAAGTGACAGCAACAGTTGCTGTGGTCGGAGAAAAGCCGATGCGACCCAAGACTGGATCCGTCAGGAAAATGGTACAAAATATGAACGCTTATATGGACGGGGCCAAACCGTCGGTCCCAGATAAATGGGACAGTTCCTCAGACTTCTAGCTCTGCAGAAGGCCGATTAGAATAAGTTGAGGTGGAGGAGAGAAATTTGGAAGACATGCAGGCCGGTATGTCTGAAATATGGTATAAACTGGTATGAACTGGATTAGATGAAAGTTTTGAAAGTTGCAAAACCAACAGATATCTTCTGTTAATATCTTAACTTATTTTCAATCATTGTCTCGTTTCAAATATTGCCACAGTTTCTAAAATAAAGCTAGTGGGTACCAGTCTGCATCCTTAAAAACAAAAAACTGTATCAATACTGTTGAAAATGATCTTCTAATCTTAAATAAATGCAGAGAATTTTATCTTTTTGACAACCCTTGTGTGTCTGCATATATACATATATATACACACACACACACACACACATAAATATGACATATTTTGACTCGACTTGACACAATGTGCTGCTTCAGAGAAAGTAAATTCAGAAGTACCATTAGTAGATCTGCAGAAATGAGCATCAGACTTGGATGGCTCCTCTTTTACGGGCAGAAGTGGAGGGACATCTAAAAAGAACATACAAAAGGAAAACAACATGGTTAAATGACACAGTATCCAAAATGACATCTAGTTTTGATAAAAGTCATCTTATATTTCCATAGGAATAAATGTTCCTCTTTTAAAAAAATATTAAATAAGTACAATGCTTGTTGAAAAACCAATTATTTTTCACCAAGAATTAAGACATCGTTTCAAAACCGTCTCAACAGATTTGGGTCTCATTTGGTTTTATTTGCTAAGGAACAAAAAATTTTACTTCTGACCTCTACATGGATCTTCTGGGATAGCAGACTTCAGATTTTCCAAAGAGGGAATCAAGTCCTCCAGAGCAAGCTCAGATGCTTTATGACGAGCCTCCTTTTTGTTTACACCCATGCCAGTCTTGTATTCAACTCCATCAATCACAACACAAAAGGCAAAATAAAACCCTTGTAGGTTTCCTGGAGAAAAGAAAAAAGTTATTTATTTGTACAACCATTTCCTCAACTTTGGGTGATCATGCATCTTTTAAATGTTGGGATGTGTAAATAATTTTAAACTTTCATAGCTGTAGTTGGGGCTATCAAAAAAAAGAGGGTGCAGTTCACATTTAAAAAAAACATTTTTTTAAAACCCTCACCCTCGTCCTCACCACATATTAAAACCTCCTATGTAGTGATGTCAAAAGGCAAACACATGTCAACAGAATTGGTTGATTTTTATCTGTAATGACAGCTGAGCTTCCCCATTTGTTCCCCAGTTTGAAGATAATATCTGTGGCCCTATAAAAAAGTGCAAATGTGCTAATGTAATCCTACGTAGCTGTGGTTCTCAAACAGCTCTTACAAATCAACCAAAACATTCAAATTAAAAACACAATTAAACATATAAATCTAAAGTAAAAAATGAAACAAAACCATACCTGTTGTTACCGTTTCCTTGATTTCTAGATTGAACTGTAAACACTGGGCAAGTTGATGGAGCAAAGACGTGGCATTTGTTTCCCCTTTTCTGTATCTATCGATCAACTGCTTTACGTTTGGCTTGTTGGGACCTTGAAAAAACAAATGAAAAACAAACATACAAACAAACAAACACAGAGAAGTTTCACATTAGATTTTTCCCATAAAGACATGCAAGATGTCCCAATGCTTCACATGATGCTCTGAGTTAACAGAGATATGGAAAAACAGTGGAAAAGGGATATAAGATTAAAATAAAACCCTCAAACGAACCAGACTCAAATCTTTTCCCTTGTTTGTTGGAGTCGTGTTTGCGAGGAGCACTGCAGAGTTTGTGTGTCGCGTTTATTTCTGATGCAACAGGCAAATTCCTCTTGAAAATTTGTGCAAAACAGGCTCCTCTAGATCCAGGCAACGATCCACCTGCTGGAAACATCTTGTCTACTCTCACAATGTCTAAAAAGAAGAGAAAAATACATTTAAGTGAAAAAATAACAAAAATATACCACTCTCAGGTCAAATTAATCTGAACGAGTTACTGTAATTCAGTAAAAAAAGGACTAATCATCTACAATTATCCACCACAGACTTGTCATACATTGCAGGCATTGAGATGTAAAGTATATATTGTATATCTGGAGTTGGTAACAAAAATAATTTACCTCTGGGATTATTAAAGTATTTCTGATTCTGGTAAAGTTTGATAAACAGAGGCCCAAATGTTGAGTACGATTAAATTTATCAAGACAAACGTCCCTGCCCCAATCTTTTCATTAAGGTATAAATGGTCTTAACGGTTAGATAGCAGTTGAACAGCCTCCAAATTAAAAATACAGTATTTACAAATCACAATTTAACTTTGCTCTCGTATCTTAAGCTGCTAACCTGTATCTTTACATTAGGTAGCTAGCTAACCAACAGTCTAAATAGACTAATACCCCACATCCGGCTATTTGAACTATAAATTAGCACGATAAAAGTTTACCTCGAGTTATCGCTTGTTCTCAGTTGAATTCCCGTTTTTCTGTCAAGTTCTATATAGTTCTATCAATCTCTGGCTTATTTATTCTATTTTTTTTCTTCTTATTTTTACTTACAGTCCTTCCCATTGACACTGAAACCTGTTTGTTTCGAGCACGAATCGCTTATTTAAGGTAATTTTAAATAAGGAAAACGCAATACATGATATTTCCTACAATTTGGGATGTCAACCTACCGTTAAAGTTTGAACCGAGTGGCCGTTGGACGGAACGCACGTGCACGGCAGTTGGTCTGATTGATCCAGATCCAACTGGTATCCTTCGGAACGTGAGACGTTGTTATGGTAACAAACTTGGCAAAATATATTCGATTGCGCATTAATTTTGTTTAGCAATTAGTTTTTAAAAGAATATAAATCTAAAAAAAAACATTTGTACTCCAAGGGATAGCCCCCCCCCCCATTTCCACCTGCATGACATTTGCATTTAATGCTATACTTATTGCGAAAGGACCCATTAGAAGTGCAGTATGCTTTATTTTTATTATTGTATGCTTTTGTTTTCATATGAAAATACCAGAACACATGTAACACTATATAGATAAAATTGAAAAATGTAATGTTATGCTATGTTATGAACACGTTATACATAAACAAAACATGAAATAAAAGCAACAAAAAAGCACTCTCTTATAAAACATGACTGGAATTCAAGTAATTTTCATTTAATTGGCATTTAAGAATTTAATTATATAATAAAAGTTGTTTGAATGGGCAAGAGGCAGTACACCCTGGGCAGGTTTCCAGTCCCTGGCAGCACCACACAAAGACAAACAACCACACACTGACTCCTAAGGGTCATTTGGAGTGTCCAGTTGACTTAATATTAATGTTTTTGGATGGTGGCATGAAACTGGAGGGAACCCACCACAGGAATGTCCTAGTCCCCCTGGGGACTCAAACCAGGAACCATCTTGCTTTGCTAACCACCACACCACCATCACTGGTCATATTCATGCTTACAGTTAAAATAATAAAGCTAAATCTACCACCACAAACTACTTGCAATAAATATCTATCTGGAGAAAAAAAAATGTGCCCTCTGGTGCGTATGTAGTCATTAATTTAAAACAAAAGTCATCGTATTACGTAGAGCTAATAACTAACTTCTTCTCATTACTAAGGCCGTAGCTTGGATTAGTGGTTGCATGTGTGAGTTGCATATATATATACACCTATTTTCCTTTTTATAAGAAAGGTGCATAGTGCTAAGGCTTTTCGCAGTGGTGTGAGGATGTGGTGGCCTGTGGTTAGCTGTGCTCGGCATCGTGAACGGCAACTGCCAGAATCGAAACGAACCTTTTGTTTGCTAAAGGGCAATTTTCGAAAGGCTAATGGGTGCGTTGTTGTCGGCCCCCTTACCTTGAGCCATAAACTACCACCGGTGGGACAATGATGAGCTGTTATGAGAGTGTAAAAAGCTAAATGGAACAAGCAGCCCACAGGCAGCGAGTAGTGGAGGTCACCACATAAAAAGCATGGTTTGACACCTCCGTACACTTCAGCAGCTAACTTTATTCACTGATCTCATCAGCCAGCCCTGAAAAGCGAAAAGGGAAAGGTGCAGTCTGAAATGAGTTCGCATGCTCTGTCCCTTTGTTCTCACAAGCGGATGTAAAGAAGGAAAAACTTGAGTCACTGCTGAACGTTCGGCCTTAATAACGACCCAGTTCCCCCATTGATCAAACTCATGGGGGGGTGCAACTTAAACTTGTCTGTTCTTTTATTTTTAGGTTGGATTTCCTCAGATTTTTAATTGGCTTGTATTTCTTAAAGAGACAGCTGTAAACCAAGAATGGATTATTTATATTGCTTTGCTTTCACTAAATACATGGCATAAAAAGGTTCATGTTTCCAAAAGACGTAACATAAATATGACGTTGATAAGGAAGAAATAGTGAGAGAAAAGGCTGAACAGTTAACTCTTTGTTATGGGGATCAGCGCGGAAAATCTCAAGGGCTGTGATAGGAAATGAAACCCTCAACAGTGGAAATATTTTATGTTATTATTAACTTTGCTTACCTATTTGGAAAAGCTAACCCCTACAGAAAGCCATTAAAGGCGGGGGGGATTTCCCGCCTGGTGGAGGCCATCAGGCCACCACCATTAAACTCACAGAGAAGGTTTTTTTCTCTTCGTCAATCAATATTTGCAAATAGAAAAATTAAACGTGTTGGAGATACAGAAACACCATGTAAGGGCACACATCAAATGCAAATTAATTTCCACCTTGCTTGTCATTCTGCTTCCACCCACGGTTGTTATTTATACGGCAATAAGGAAGCCTGTCCCTTATTTGGATTTTTTTTTGTCTTCTTCCTATCCACATTTTGCCATTACTTAATAACATTGTGGTGGCTAATAATCCAACCTATCTACAATCCTCACAATTCATTAACCACTAAATTCCAGATGTGATAGTCTGCTTCTGCAACAGTAGAGGGCAGTGTAAGAATGGAAACTAAACCATAGGCTTTGGAACAAGTCAAAGCATAAACATTTCTTTTGGTGATATCTAAAAGAAGGGAAAAAGTTCAATAACAGGAGATTTAATCGCCTGGTTTTTGTGACTGAGTCATTGTCATGCGTTTCTTTAGGTTTTGGCCAGACAGGCTTAGGTAAAACCCCCAAATCTTCTCACTTTCACCTCAATGGAAATATTCTGGAAAATGCAAGAAATTTGAAAACAGATATGTGACAGTTGCATAGAAAAAACTCTTTTGAGCCAAGGCAAAAGATGTAGAAAAGACGGAGCTCTTTGAATATAATTTCAGTTTAGATGATTGATTTATTCTCCGGAGAATCTGGCTTCCTCACATCATCCAAAAAGATGCATGTTTGTGTTTTTTTAAGATAATAAACCTGATCCAGGAGTGAGTGGCTCTCTCTAAGTGGCGACTGGGATAGGCTCCAGCCCACCCCTAACCTCTGAATTAAATTAAGCTGCTATAGAAAAAGGATGTAAGGACAATTGATTCATCATAATCAGGGTAATAGGTCATAAAAAGACAAAAAAATCCAACGTGGACTGAGCGGATTTAATGCCATTCACTGTATTTTGTCTGTTTCCGTCTCTATGACAACGGCCTCGATGATAAACTGGTTTTCCTGGACATTACGGGCTTTTAAGTTTATGATTTATGATCAGAAACAAGATACCCAGTTCCTCATGACACAAACAAGAGCACATGTTTATGTCATACTTTTTTTACAAGTCGGATCCACGCATAATGGCCCGCAGAGCTCTATACTAACCGTTTTACTGAACAGAGTGGCCTAAGACCATCAGAAACCAGAGCCCGGAGCCCCATGGCCAGTGACCGCCTGCCATTGATAAATAAATAACAGCCATTCTTCTCCACGTTCAGCTGCAGTTCTCCGATGCGTCTCCACTGCCAAGATTGAATCTTCCCCATTCATTAGACTAAGTGGATGAGGCTCTCTAATAGGGGCTCCCTTCCCCTCAATAATTGCTGTTGATTGGCGTAAATTAGACCCTAGTTGCCAGACGAGTGATTCTCGACGACGATAATCCGATTCCCGACTCAAACTAATAGGATTTTAACTCTGGCTTCGGCCTAATGTCCGTCTGCAAACCCTGGCCAAACCCTGGTCCTCTGGATCATATCTGGGCCGGGCCCCGCCGAGGATGCTGGGAGTCTGGGGGGGGGGGTCATTTCTGTCCCGCGTCCCGAGCTTCCAGGGGCTGTTTCTCAGGGCATTCCTGGCATCAATTGGTCATTCATGCTGCCACTTCCACCGAAAGTGTGTGTGGAGAAAAGAGCGGATGTTTCTGGTGATGTGCAGCTCCAGGACAGGCCTGGAAAGGCCTGGAACCATGAGATAAATGGAGGGTTTCATTTTTAAAGACGCGGAAAAGACGTGAAAAAAAGGACACTTTAGTTCCTAGAAGTCTCACTTTTTTATTTATTTTTTATTTTTATTTATTTATTTTCTTTTCTTTTTTTTATTTAATGTATGTATTTATTTTTTTATTTTTTAAATGTATTATTTTTATTATTATTTTTTAATATTTTTTAGAAGTCTCACTTTGTATGTTTTTTTTTTCTTTTTTCTTTTCTTTTATATATGTATTTATCTATTTTATTTATTTATTTTTTACATTTATTATTATAATTTTTGATAATGTTTTTAGAAGTCTCACTTTGTATGTTTTTTTTCTTTTTTTCTTTTCTTTTCTTTTTTCTTTTATGTATTTATCTATTTTTTTTCTTATTTATTTATTATTCTTATTTTCTTTTTCTTTTTCTTTTTTAGAAGTCTCAGTTTAGTGGGAGCTGCAGATTAAAATCAACAATGACTATTCTGACTTCACCCCATAAGTATGTTCACATATTAAAGCACTCTAAGCATTGTCACAAGGACTTATTTAAAT